GCTCTGGGCCCCGGGGCGCCCGGGCCCGCGCGGCCACGTGCTGCCCGCCGGATGATATTTGGAAAGAAAGTGCTAATGGCCAATCTGGTGTTTATTTTGAAACTGCTAACAATGATTTTTCTCGGGTAAAAAGGCAGTGTCTGCGCACACGCTCGGGTGGGTTTTGAGCAGAGGCTCCGCCAGATGGTGCGAAGCCCTAGGTGCGCTCACGACCGCGCTCAGCCCGGCTCTGCCGCCCGGAACCCGAGCCGGGGGCCGGGGGCCGGGGGCCGCCCGTACCGCCGCCTGCGCCAGCCCCACCGCCGGCCTCGCAGAAAAAGAAAAAAAGGGGGGGAAAGGTCACTGGGGGAGGGGCGGGGGGCGGGGGCCGGGAGCCGCAAGTTCCCGGCAGAAAAATTCCACGGAAGGGGGAGGGGAGTCCCCCTCTCCAGTGCCCTCCCCCCACCGAAAATTATCTGGAAATTACTTCCAATCTCCTCGGGCACTTCTAACACTTTCCTCCACTTCCAGGCGGACAAAGCCCTTTCTCCAGAAAGCCTGAGGCTGCCCTCTGGGAAGAGGGAAGGGTCCCAGCGAGCCCCTCTCCCCCACACTCCCTCCCGATCTGCTCGGAACCACAGAAGTGATGGGTGTCACCGCAGGCCAACGGGCCGCCTGGGGCTGCCGGGCGCTTGGCCGAGGCGGACACCAGCACTTCTGAGAGCTCGGCTTGTCCTCCTATGGATCCCCGTATTTATATGTGATTTATTTTTTATTTTGTAGCACAAACAGAAATCCATAAACTGTCGGTTCAGCGCCATTGACTCTTTGATCAGTTACTGGGCTATTTCTTTCCTTCCCCCCCATCCCGTCAGTGAGAGGAGATTAAATGCCTTTATTTTCAGCCCTGCTTCTGTTGCAAAGGTACATGGCTAAACGAACAATAAGAATACACTTAAAACGAAGCCTCCTCCTCTAAGCAACAACAGAGAAACTTAGCGCTGCCTACATCAACCTCTTAATTAGAACACTGCGGCTTCCGACAACATTTAGCCCTTATATACAAAGGAAATAAAAGCACCCTGTCAACGAGCAGCCCTAGTTCCAGAGGCTTCTCTGGATCCAAGTGGAATAATTACCGAAGGGCACACGGCCTCCGTCTTTGTCAGAAACACGGTCGTCTACCTGTAAGATCTGTTTCACTCTGAGAGAAAACCAGACTGTTTTACCCCGCAGACACTAAAATCCAACCCGCTTGTTGCCTAGGTAAGGACCAACTTTTTAAAGGGGAAGTAAAATCCAAAAACTAATTGCTGTACACAGAGTGGGAAGCAAGCGAGCTGGGCTGCAGGAAGCACCAAGGAGTTCTTTTTCCCTTGGCTCACAATTCTTAAAGTTAGCATCAAAAATGAAGGTGCTACTTTCATTTCTAAGCCCGAAGCCCACCTTGGAAGTATATGTTAAATCAATCTGTTGGAGTGGGTTTACTGTACACATTGAACTTTCCCCTCCCCCAACACTATTTTAAGAAAATGAGGAGGGGGGTAAATTTTTACCAGGACTACACAACAACACACCACCCGGTACAAAACCAGCCAGAGACTGCACAAGGTCAGAAAGCAATGAAGCGCTTTTTCTGCACTTAATCACATTACTGATAGCCAATAGTTATCATCGGAAAAGTTGACCAAGACAGGTTAAATAATTTAATAAGGAACTGCTTGTAATTATGTTATTTACAAGGTATGACAGAGGGTGGGAGAGAGAGCAAAAGCTGCTCCCAGAGCAATGGACGGATGTGGGTGACCTCTGGAGCTGGGAGTTTGAATTATGGAGAGGGGAGGCTGAAAGGTGAAGACGCACTAGCGGAGAACAAGGTGACTTTTCACCCCAACACATTTCACTTTTAAATCCAAATCAACGTCTCGCGTTACTAGACCATCACACTGGAAAGGAGAAAAAAATGAACTAATCAAGTCCAACTCAATGGGCTTTGGAAAGGAGTTAGATGCCTTTGTTATAGAAAAAAAAAAAAATCAATGAAATGATTCCAAGCAGAGAGAGAAACATTTAAAAATATATACAAGAGGGGAAGTATCCTGAAATTTTTCTGTCAAATATTAATTACCATAACTAATTAAGACAGAATTTTATCCCAATCACACGCCATCTAATGAAAGCATAGATGTCCTGTTCTAACGACAACATGAACTGTTTTACCCATCGCATCATTTATTCCAAAAAATATGGAATTCTCATTAGCATGTCAAGGAAACTAGATGGAAAACAACTCCACCAGTTCCGTTTGTCAGTACCCCCATCTCAACCCCAGGACAAGACAGCTGAGCAGCGCAGACTAGTGCAGAGGCTTGAACTTTCTCACCTGTTTGGTCATTGAATCTATGAGGCGAACATACAGATCCTGCTCCGTTCTGACTCCTGCAAAAAACAGGGACAAATTCTCATCAGGATTTTAGCGAGGGCACCTGGGGCACAGGAAGTCGGTAACTCAGGACTGCTGTGGGCAGTGAAGCAGCAAAACTTAGGCGTGCCCTTTAAAAGGCAAGAAAGAGAACCCCAATCACTTCTCCTTCTCTTGGTTTCTTTTCTTAATTAAGAACCTCAAGACTCTTAGGTTTGCACTGAAAGGTGCAACAAATTTGCCAGATTGAGAGCAGGCCTGGTTGCCACACCGGTGGGCCCATGTGCTCACTTATTTTTTAGAAAACAGAGAGCACCAAATGAGTGAGAGTTTGAACTCTTTCTAATGTCTCTCGAGGATTTTTTTTAAAAAACTCGTGCACAGGAAGTAAGTTATGCTCCCGTTTATGGAGCTTCCCCCATCTCAATAATTAACATTAATTTGCAAAATTGAAAAAAGTCACTTAAAATTGATGCTCTGCTGAAGCCCATATCGATCCCCCTTTTTACTTTCTGCTTCACGCCCCACCGGTTAATCATGTGAAGTGCCATCGACTTATTGATCGTTTATGTTTTGTTTTCCTTCTATGCCATGAGAAGAATTCGTGTTTACATCCATGTCATTTTAATCTCAAAATCTTTATGTCCTTTAGCCGTCTCGGGAAAGGAGCGCGAGCCCGGGCAGGGGCGGGCAGGCGGCGGCAGCCACTTACCGTTGCTATACAGCAACTGGAGTTTATAGTGGATGCCGTTGTTGGTTTTCTCGTTGTTGGGCTCCTGAAAGGAACGATAAATAATTGCATTTAGTGTGATCGGTGTCCGGCGCGGCCACCGCGCTCGGTCCCCCTCCGCGACCGAGGCCCCGTGGCCTCACACATGGCAGGAGTCCTAGCTCGGAGGGGCGCGCTGATGTCACTTTCCTGCTGGAAGCCCAGCGTCCTCCTCGCCCCGAATAAGTCCGGGGGCGCGGAGAAGTTGCGCAGCCCTCGGCGGGCCCGGGCGGCCGCACGTGGCGGCGGCGGGGGCGCCAGGCCCGGGAGCAGGAGGCCGGGCTCCAGCCGCCGGGCCTTGCGCGCCTGCTTCTTGCGGCGCGGCCGGTACTTGTAGTTGGGGTGGTCTCGCAGGTGCTGCACCCGCAGCCGTTCCGCCTCCTCCACGAAGGGCCGCTTCTCCGCCGTGCTCAGCTCCTTCCACGCCTTGCCTGCAGGGCAGCGCGCGCGTCAGTGCGCTGCCGTCGGGCCGGCGGCTTGCCGGGCCCTGCGTGTGCCCTGCGCGCGCCGCGAGGGTGGGGCGCGGCCCCCGCCCGCCCTGGCCCACCCCTGCGCTAGGTCCCTCCTCCCCCGACCGCTCAGCTCACCCCTCCCCGCCCGCCCGTGCCCCTCACCCAGCATCTTGCTGAGCACCGCGTTGTGGAGGTCCGGGTTCTGCTGCGCCAGCCGCTTGCGCTCGTCCTTCGCCCACACCATGAAGGCGTTCATGGGCCGCCGGATGCGCGACTCGTCGGCCGCCTGGCGCTCCCCGCGGCCGGCCGGGCTGAGGCCATAGCGCCCCGGCTCGGGGCTTCGCGTCGGGCT